ATTATTATTATTATTATTATTATTATTATTATTATTATTATTATTATTATTATTATTATTATTATTATTATTATTATTATTATTATTATTATTATTATTATTATTATTATTATTATTATTATTATTATTATTATTATTATTATTATTATTATTATTATTATTATTATTATTATTATTATTATTATTATTATTATTATTATTATTATTATTATTATTATTATTATTATTATTATTATTATTATTATTATTATTATTATTATTATTATTATTATTATTATTATTATTACTACTACTATTACTATTATTATTATCATTATTATTGTTATTATTATTATCATTATTATTGTTATTATTATTACTACTATTATTATTATTATTTTTATTATTATCAACATTATCGTCATCATTTGAGTACAAATAAAATGAATTTTTGGTGTAATATTGCAGTTTAAAAGAGCTACATGACCTATGCTGCATGACCTATCTCTTTTCCTTATTTCTCTTCCTCTCATCAATTTCCATCAATTTATCCATAATTTCGTCTTTCTTCCTCTTTCTCTAAATGAGAATCACCCCACCAAATTGATTATAAAATTTAATTTTTCAAACATTAAAATTGAAATTGAAGGCTTTCATCATTTATTCGTTGACACTCTGTTCAGTTTTTCCCTATTTCATTTTTCCTATGCTTCCCCAATCTTTCCATTTTAGCCCTTCCATTACCCAAATTCTTGTTTCTCTCTCTCACTCTCCCTCTCAAAAAAAAGAATAGAAAAAAAAGACGACACTTTTTTTCTTTCTTTTTATTCCTTCAACGAAGAAAGAGCAAAACAATCTTGTTGTACTTTCAGTTCATTCAAATTAACAAATTCATTAAATTTGGCCATTTTCATTCAAAATATTAAATAACAAAAAAAAAAAAAAAAATGAAAAGTTTTTCATGAAATTTTGAAATAAGAAAAGGAAAAAGAATGATCGTTCCATTTTTCTTTCTTTTTTTTTTATTTTTTGTTTCTCTTTTTTTTCTATTGTAACAACAAATACTATTTATTTCTATTTACTGATTGCATATCTAAATAGAGGACATTCATAGTATTAATAATATAATTTTAATATATTTTCCAATTATTGCAAATTACTTACATTAGTCCGTCTTTTAATCTTTTTTTTTTTTGAATTCTTTTTATTCTTCTCATTCCGCTCCTTCTTTCTTTCCTTTTCTCATAATTCATCCAAAATGATTTACCATCTGTAACTTTAACGTCCATTTTTGATGGCTGTATTTTCTATTGTTGTTGCTATTTATTGTTGTTTGATGTTATTTGTTATTGTTGTTGTTGTTGTTGTTGTTGTTTGTTGCTGTTGTTCATTTTTGATGATGTTTGTTGTTGTTGTTGTTGTTGTTGTTGTTGTTGTTGTTGTTGTTTATCTTGGTCATTATTATTGCAAGTTGTCCCGTTGTAGCCTCTAACGTTGAAGGTAATTGATATGGGTAATACTATTAGCTGTTACTATTGTTGTTATTATTGTCGTAACAGTCGTAATAGTAATTGAAGATATTATTGATACCTATCTATCCAATCATTATTGAAATAGTTTTAATGGTAATATATACAAACATGGATAATTATCATTTCGGATATTTCATCGATTTTCTACTATCATATTCATTTTTAATTTTAGTTCCTATTCCGGAAGATTTAATGTGACGAATGATTTCATGTAATTCATTTCATTTTGAAGTTTTTGTCGTAATTTGGTTAACTGAAAAAGAGAGGAGTTGTAAAAAGAACAGAGAATATAACTTTAATTGCTTCAATTAAATTTTGAAATTTTTAGAAAATTTATCGCTCATATATTTTTCTTTTAATACCATTTCATTTCCTTTTTATTCTTAAAATTTTTTTATTTTTGCTGTGTCGTAACCTTTTATTGACTTACAACAAGCCGATGAATAAATAAATTTCATAGATTAGAAATTACAACAATATAGCTTATGAACTAAAAAATCTCATATCTCTCAATTATTTCCAGTAAATT